TCTCCTGTTTTGTGGCCTTTTGAGTTTTCCACATCATTTTTTTTCCTCCCTGTGGTGTGTGAAAGGAAGTGGGGGGTGTGGCTCAGTGGTAGAGCCCTTGCCTCGCATGCACAAGGTCCTGGGTTTTATTGCTAGCACCGCAGAAATAAATAAATAAAGGAGGAGTGGAGAGATGTTGAATCCAGAAGGGGCCCCGTGGGTCAGGTTGTGGATGTGGATCTACAGCTACCCTATCCTGGCTGTTTGCTATTGAACTGCAGTACTGCTGAATGGTGGAGCAAGAAGCTATTTATAACCCTGAGAATTTTGCAGGGTTATTGAATTGCTTCCACCTAATTTCCATTTCCTTTCTAAAATGAAAATGAAGCAAGTAAGCAAACATGCTGGAAGGATTCCCTACAAAGAAATCCTTTATCCTGGGAATATTAATTATCTGGGAAATAGTACTCTAGTCTCCTACCTCCTGGTGTTTCCATGCAGAGAAAAGCACCTCTAGTCAGGGGTGCTGAGCCTGATTCTCCAGTACCACGTGTTCTCACAGTAGACATGGAAATAAAGTTATAATTGGAAACAGCATGGAGTTGGGAGGTGCGGGCCAAGGAGAGAACAGGAGACAACCTGAACAGGTCCTGTGCCTGCCTACTGGGATCCAGCCTAGCTCCTAGATGTGGAAGAGGCTGGAGCTGTTGGCTTCAACAGACAGAGGTGCTTCCTGAGCTGTGTCAAGTGCCCTGCTGCTAAGTCAAAAGACCACATGGATAAACCTCCCTGGTGGAGGAGGAGCTATGAAGAAGGGAGGTGTGTAAATGTGTAATGTGACAAGGGGAGTATGACGGGACCTCTGTAGACGTGATCAGAATGCAGTGATTAATTGGGCTTCTGTCCTATTTCTTTGCTAGAGAATGAAGGAGAGAAATAAGAATAGTACAGACAGGAGGTGATTCTCAGGTGGGTTTTAAAGTTTAAATAGGAGCTCTAATGACAGTGGAAAGGAGAGAATGTGTAAAAGATGAGATGAAAGAACAGAGCTTGCATAGTAGAAATAGCAAGTGGTCCAGGGCATAGTCTTAACTGGATTTTGGTGTTTTTTGTTTTTGTTTTGGGAGTTTTTCGGTGCTGGGAATCAATCTCAGAACTTTTTGTTTGTGGGACAGGCACGGTGCCACTGAGCTAAATCCCCAGCCCAGGATTTTGGATTGAATACCACACAAGGAAGTGGAGACTGCCTTCTTCAGACTGTGGAGGACCATTTGTTGCTATAACAGTGAGCCCTCGTTACATAGGTCTTTTCATGTCAGTGTGTTTTAGCTTTATGCACTCAAACCAGAAGTTGCCACCGACCACTTGGTGTGGGTCAGGTACAGAGCTACCTGCTTTCGTGTGGCTTTCCAGCAGCACCATGCCACCTGGCTTCAAATCCTGGCCATGAATGTACGAATTGCAACTCTGAGCACTTTTTTACTTTTCTGCCCTCTATTTTCTTGTCTTATCAAGTGAGTGATGATGACATATCTAGAGTTGCTCTGTGAATTGATATTTGTAAAGTCCTTGAAATAGTGCCTTAGCTTATATGTGTGTTAGCTAATATCATCATCGTCAAAGGAAGTACTGTGTACAAGGAAGAGAAATAACTGAAGTCAAAGACCTTAGGAGGCACAGTTCTGATGTAATTGTCTGTCTCCCTCCCTCCCTCCTGGGGAGGGACATAGAAGGAGATGCGCAGAAGACAGCCAGACTTCAGTTACCTTACTTGTTAAATGGAGGTGTTCTTCAGGATTCTTGTGAGCACCAGCTATAAGATGCTGAAGAAGTGAGTAATTGACTACAGAGGCGGCTGTGTATGACTATTACATACACTATGAGTTCTACAGTGCTGGGGGAGGTGCTCTTATTAGTGCAGCCAGTGTTAATCAAGTGCCCCTTTAGTGCCATCATCTTAAGCCACATTTGCTGCTGATCTGATCTCCATCGTGCACTTCCTTCAGAACTTTGGCTGACTTAAACAAAGGAGTTGTATTGGCAGAATACAGGGGACTTTCAGGTAACCCAAGTGTAGGGAGTGTAGCCATGGAATCTGGAAAATTATCAGACAGTGATTTTTTCTATCTCTTTCTGGGATTTTCTGACTTCTGCTTGACTCTTTGTTTTTTGACCCAGGGTCTTGCTGTGCAGTTCAGTCTGGCCTTCAAGTCACAATGTCTGGCCTTTAACTCACAGCAATCCTCTTGCCTCTGCCTCCCAAGTGCTAGAACTACAGGCCTGTGCCACCATGCCCAGTGGTTCTTTATTTTTGGATTCTTCCTGCAGAATAGCTTTCTCTGCAAGGCTCCTGGTTTTTGCTTCTCCATACCTTTGGCTTATGAGTGGATTGGGCTGGCCATGGTACCTGCTCTGCAGCTGTGATCTTACTGCTCTAGCTTCCATTGTCACCCACCTGTTTTGGTCCTTGTCTTTTAAATTCAAGAGAATGAATTAGATTAACCAACTAAAGCTGGGTATCTACTTCTGTCTGTCAGCTGTGGCAGGAGAGTGTCATTCAATACAAAATAGGCTGCCTGAGCTTTGTGGGAAAATAGGAATCTATAAGAATGGGGATTTGTAAATATCTTATGGTTAATCTAGGTGGCTGAAAATCTCCATGCTTTAAAAAGGGTTTGAAGGGGCCGGGGATTTAGCTCAGTGGTTCCGCCGCCTGCCTCACAAGCACAAGGTCCCTAGTTCTATCCCCAGTACCAAAAGAAAAGCGGGGAGGGTGTCTGAATATTCAGAACAGCGAAGAATCATTCAGGGCTAGCTTTAATAAATGAGGAGACAACCTCAGACATGTCATCATGTAGGGTCAAAATGAAGTAATAACTATAATTAATGAGCTTTAGCTTATTTATCTCCAAAGATAGTATTCAGAAAGGAATTTTTTAAAATATGATTTGATTTTTAGCATCATCAAATAAAACAAGGGTATAGCTTCTTTGAAGACTTACAAGGGCATCCTTATTTGGATCTTCAAGTTCTGATTTAGAGTCTTTAACTTGAGACCCAGAAGACACCAGAGACACACTTTTGTTCTATACTCACGTCTTACAACAGAAGAAAACAGAGACTTGGGTGAAGGGACAGGTGAACACTGTGATGGAACCAAGATGATGTCCAGAGGTCTTAGACTACAAATCTAGTTGCTTTGTTCAGCTGAGAAAAATCTCTTCTTACTTACTTACAGCAGATGTCCCAGTAAGCATAAGGCATCAAGAGTCATGGCACCACCCTGGTATGAGAGGTCCCAGCCTTGCTCTGTCCCTGGAGAAGAGCATTTCAACCAGAAATTACACTCATGGTTCCAGTTTCTTACCAGAGGTCTGTGGTGTGCCTGAGCATGGAAAAACTATGTTGAAAATTTTTGCCTGGGGCTGCATAGATTGTTGAAGCTGTAGCGGTCATTTTCAGTCCCTTTAGGCTGTATGTAGTTGCAGTGAACAGAAATTCAGGCCTGCTTAGGGGAGAGGGGAAGAGCACTGGCCAAGTCCACTCCATATTCTCTACACCCTTTACCCCTCACTAGCTGGGTGAACTTGCTTCCCCACATTCAGAGCTTTACTTTTGTCCTCCTCAAACAGGATAATTCTATTCTGCCTATTTCACTGGCTCCTGAGAACTTTCAAAAAAGGAAAGGAAAAGCTTTTTGAGAACCATTTCTTTTACATGGTCTTGCTGGTATTTTTTAGTTGAGTTCTCAAGCAGCCTCCCTGAGAGGGAAATGGCCATGAAAGCTTCCTTCGTTCTGAGGCCTGTGGGTGTGTAAGAGGCAGACTTTGACCCCTTTTTTACCAGAGCAGTTTGTGCCCACCAGGCTGTGTGAACTGACACCTGTGTTTGGGCTGAAAACTGATACCATACATGAATAACAAACCTAGCAATGGCCATACTGTGTGTGCCAGAAGAGGCAGGTGGTCCCTGTTAGCGAAGCATGAATTGAGGTGATTTGTTAAACCTCAAGGATGCAGAAAGGTCTTATTCATTAAGAGAGTGGCCTCTCCTGAACCTTTAGGCAAGGAGTGTAAATATACATTGAAAAAATCAATCAACCGAGTGACTTCCCTTCCCTTCCTGAGACCCTGGAGAGAGTGCTTCAGCTACGGCTTAGAATACCGCTAAGCGATCAGAGTTGCCTAGGATACCAGTCACATGGGCCCATCTCCTAGACTTGCTCAAAATCATTTATTTTCCTTTATTTTGGAGAAGTGGGGGAGAGTTCAGAGGTACATCCAGAACTCTTTCCTTCTCTAGAGGGGCCTTTGTGTGAGAACAACTCACCTTTCTTGAGTTTGAGCCCTCAGCAGCCCTTGCCCTTGGCATTAAGGACAAAAGAGCATTTCCTGTCCCGGTTCTCATCCCTGTTTTCTGAACTCTGTGTCATCCCACACAGAGGAGGCTCTATATTGTGTCCTTGGAGGGGGAAGGAGCAGCAGCAATGAGTAGGAAGGAGACGAGCATGTGGGAGGGCCATGCTGACACTGGGATCTTATGATGCCTGCTGAAGGGCAGTAGCCTGACGTCTTTAGCTAACCACTCAAGCAAGAAAAAATTGTCTATTCTTATCTGTCTCAGAGCATGTGCTTTTCTTCTCTCAAGGTCCGAAGACAAGAATTTACAGTAAATAGCTTTTCTAACCACCAAGTCTCTTGACCCTTCAGACTGAAGTGTCAGTCACATCAGCGTATCTTCCTACTAGAGGAGCTGTAGGTGATAGATAGGATTGTCCCATTTCTACTTGCTGATTTGATCTAAAGAGACAACAGCTCAAGGAGAGTTTGTAGTATGATCTAGAAAAATTCAAACCAAGTAGTTCCGTACGTTGCTTTATAGAATATCTGTCTTCAGATTGTACAAAATAGATACCAACGGTAAGATAAAGGCGTATTTTGTGACTTTTGCCTTCTTTCTGATTCTTTCTCCCCAGGCAGCTGTGTCTGTGTGTGTTAGAGAAATAGGGCCCACTGAGAACGATGCCACCACCCTCTGACATTGTCAAAGTGGCCATTGAGTGGCCAGGTGCTAATGCCCAGCTCCTTGAAATTGACCAGGTACGATTTTGAACCAAGTAGCAGTGCTGCAAAGAGAAGAACCATGGGAGGGGGTGTTTTTGTACCAGGGGATGCATAATGGGGTATTTATAGGCCTGGGGGCCATCAGAATCAAGAGTAAGGGCTGCGGATTTAGCTCAGTGGTTCCACCTCCTGCTTGTAAGTGCAGGGACCTGAGTTCGATCCCCGGTACCACAAAAAAAAAAAAAAAAAAAAAAAAGAATCAAGAGTAAGCACAACCTCAGGAAGGCTGAGCTTTGGGCCTGGTACCTCCCAGGGAAAATGGGTCATTAAAGCTTGGGAGATGTTTCCTCCCTGACAAAAGCTGGCAGGAAACAAGATCATTCCATGCCCAACCTAGTCCTACTTGGCGCACTCCATCTTGTCAACCTGGCATGATAGTGTATGGTTGATGGTAAAGGATCTCTCTCCCTCCCTCTCTCCACCCCTCCTCTGTCTTTCAGAAACGTCCTCTGGCCTCCATCATCAAGGAAGTTTGTGACGGGTAGGTTGAAACTGACCTCACTCTCAACACTGACAGCTAAGACAGATGAGCAGCTAGACCTTGAAGAAACCTCCACGAAAGATCTCTGGTTAGGCAGGTCCTCAGTGTGGGCTCCTGTGGACCACTGTGTTACCGAGGAGTGACAGTTCATAAGTATTTCCTAAGACTTCATAGGACTCTTAATTTGTTCCTTTAAGTCTAAGAATGCCCTGTTTGAGGTCCTGGTAGGATCTGAGACCCATCCTCAACTGTACAAACTTCCTGCTGTGGTGCTAACCTTTACCTAGGGCTGAGGAGGTTATTCTTTAACATCTCAACCTAAACATTTGTTTCTTTCTTGTGTACTCCAAACAGGCTGTCCAATTCCTTGAGCAACTGAATTGAAAATTATTCATTTGCAGCTTCCAGAAAACCATAGATGAGTAGCCCAATGGGATATGATGTTTTCTCTTATGTAGGTGGTCGTTGCCAAACCCAGAGTACTACACTCTCCGGTATGCAGATGGTCCCCAGCTCTACATCACTGAACAGGTCAGTACAGGGCAGGCCAGAGGCTGCACAGGCATCCCTTACAAGCAACTCACTCAAGGAGATAGCACTATTTAGCTTACTTAACATCCAGGTAAACAGCAATCTTCTTGAGAAGAGAGTTGCTCCCTGGGCGGAATGGGAAGCACCAGCCCTTTGCTCCTCCAGTGACGAGCAGGAGGTGGTTTTACTTCCTGAGACACTGGGGCCCTTGAAAAGAATCTTAGAAGCTCTTGCCAAGGAATAAGCCGAAGAAAAAGCAAGCCTCAGTGAAGAGCTTCAGTTTCAGGACGGTGGTCCCTCCATATCCTTATGAGGAGGGTTGGCTCCCAGGACCCCCAGGGATACCAAAATACGTGGGTACGGCATTTGCATTTAACCTAGATGGATTCCCCCATATATTCAGTCATCTCTAGATGACCTATAATACCAAATACAATGGAAATGCTGTATCAATAGTTTTTATACTGTATTGTTTAGGAAATAATGGCAAGAAAAAGAATCTGTTCCTGTTCAAAAGCAATTCTCCAGATTATTTTCAGCTCATCATTGGTCAAATTATCCATAGAAGTGGAGCCTACAGTAAAGAGAGGTTGACTATACTTTTAAAATGACCAAAATTCTTGTTGATTCAACTTGCTATTGTTTTCTGTTGTTAACTAGACTCGCAGTGACATTAAGAATGGGACAATCTTACAACTGGCTATCTCCCCGGTAGGTATTCTTCCTTCCTTAGGAGTTTATTAATTTAATAAGCATATATGAGCACCTACCATGGCCAGCCTCTGTTCTCAAAACTAGGACTGTGCAGATTGAAAAGGCTCTGCTTACACCCTGGTTGGCAGCAGACAATATGAGGTCTCTCTCAAGATTCTTGAGAGAAAGTTGCTTAGGGAGCTAGAGGAGCTTAGAGAGGGACTACCTACTTTGGCCTGGGGCTCCTAGAAAGCCCTCCCAGAGAAAGGACCACTTAGCTCAGATGTAAAGGTTAAGCCAGAATTAACTGTAAAAGAAGAAAATGAAAATCGTTCCAAGCAGAGAGCTCAGGATGTGCAGAGGTGCAGAGGTGGGGCATGTCTGGGGAGGTGGGAATGCTAGGTGGCTGAAGGTCTGTGACACCCATGGAGAAGCCAGGTCCTGATGACTCCTGCACACAGGTTTGGACTTCATCCAGAAGGAATCGGGTGACGTTAGAGGATTTCAAGCAGGAAAATACATTGTGTTTAGATTGAAGTTTTAGATCCCATCGTGAGAGTTTACCAGAGGAAGGCCGGTGGTGGGAGGAACCTCTGAGGCCGATGAGGAGCGTTAACATCCCAGTGAGGGCAAGTGGCACTGGAGATGGACATGAAGAGTATTTAGGGGATAACTGTGACAGAAATGGTGAAGTTACTAGGTGTAGATGACAAGGGAGAATTTACGAGAAGCCCCTGATATCTGCAAGAACAGCCCTTAAATCTAAGGACTAAGCGACTAGCAGGGTAGGAAAAAACCAGGAGTGTTAAGTGACTTGGGAGCTGAGAGCAGGGAGACGGTCAGGATAGAGGAAGGTGTGGTTTGCAGTTTGTGATAAGCAGAGAGAGAAAGTCAGCTGAAAACAGAACTACCCCAACCAGGGAGGTCAAATGGCATCTTCACTGAAACAGTTCTGCTGAGGACATGGGTGGCTAGGTTGTAGTGCGTGAGTAAAAGGAAGGTTAAAAAAGAATATGACTTGCCATATATCAAGAGGCTTTGTTTTAAAAGGAAATGGAGAGGGTAGTAACTCAGAGGGATGTGGATTCAAAAAGATGTGCTTTTCAAAATAAAATATTAATGTGTTTCAGAAATCTTAGTTTGCAAAAATCTAGTGAAAGGTCTCTCTCCCACTTCTGTTCCCCCTCTGTCTGTCCAATTATCTACCTGTTTGACCCTTCACAGTTGTCAATTTCTGGTGCAGTTTTTGTGTCCATGAGAATGTGTTAAGATGAGTAAGAAGAAGGGTAAAGGAACAGGACAGCGGGGTGATTAATAGAACAGAACCGTCCTGGGTCAGGACAGGGAGGACTCTAGGCCCAGGTGGAGAGAACCACCTTGGTCGCCAGGCTTGTGACAAAATGCTAATAAGGACCCAGCTTCAGTCACATTTGTAAAAGAGCTGCCAGGAAATTAAGGGAGTGGTGGTGTCTGCTTTCCTGATGAGCTAGAGACTTGTTCATCTGAGGGGAGGGGAAATGTGGCGTAATAGCAGCTAACATTTACTGAACGTCTCCATTCTGCTAAATACTTTGTCTATAGTGTAGCATTGAATCCTAACCAATAGTCAAGGAGATTGTTACTCATTGGCCCCATTGTGCAGACAAGGAAACTGAGGGCTTATGGAGGTTGAAAAAGAAGCTTAACCATTTGCCCCATTGCAAGGAGGCTGAGCTGGCTCTCAGATCCAGGCCCATCTCACTCTAGGCCATTTTCTTATCTCTCTTCTCATCTTAAGGACTTCATTCTCCCCTCCTAAGCTCCGCTAATTTAATGTGACAGTCTGGGAGTTACTTTTACAGAAGTGCTGAAGCATTTTAAGACCTCTTACATTGAGTAGTCACCTTTCCCAGAAGCACATATCTTGAGCGAGGGAGGCAGCAGCCCAGAAATACTGCCTCTGGAGGAAAATTGACATTTGGACTGGAAGTTTCTAAGCGTGATACAGACCAGTGCTCTTCAAATTGTTCTATCCTGTGACCTTTTCTCATGGTGCACTTTTTCTCCACTGTAGGATTGGGAGGATTTGTGTTTCATCGAGAGTAGTGTGCTGTTACGCGCCCTCTTTGTACCAATAAACGGAGAGGCAAGAGGAGAGATAGCGGGCCTGGCTCCTTGCAAGCAGTGGAGCTGGTCACTTGCTCAACACTGAGGATAAAGAAAGAGACTGGGTGCTTTGGTACCTAAGCTTCCTCCTTTCCAACGGAGAATGTTAAATTTAAAAAATTAAATTTAAATTAAAATTTAAAAAAACAGTAAATTGTGAGCGAGTGACTACAAAGTTAACAAGTTCAGCAAGAGAAAAGCTGAGTGAACGTAAGCAGGATTTTAGCCGTAGCTTGAAGAAAGGAAGGAAGCATCCTGCCCAGATTCCTGAGGCAGGAAGAAGTATTGTCTTCACCAGCCTTCATTTTCATAAAGCTATTTTGAAATTAATAGTTTCTGAGTCTTTGATATTCTTAGTTTCCACAGGACTATCACTTAAGAAATTGTCAGGCTTATTGCATTTTAAGATTACAAGGGATCTTAAAGGTTAGCAGAGAAAATTCACCACCTAGTGTGAAAGTTCCTTCAATAGGGTCTCTGGCAGATGGCTGTCCAGGTTCTCTCGTGGTTCTAGCAATGGGAGCTTGGTTCCTCAAGAGAAACCCCTTCTACTGTTGGACAGTTTTAATTAACAGGAAACTCCCTATTAAGCCGCTATCTGTTTCTCAGTGACTTGCCATATTTAGTGGATCTCTCTCTATATTTCCTTGGTAGTACTTTTTAAGTCCATAGACCAGAGGGGTACAGAAAAGATACACATTACTACAGATTGGCGTTGGCATCCTAGAACTTCCCTGACTGATCCCATAAACATTTATTTAGCAACTCCTAAGCAGTGTGAAAAACTAATTCTGCCTGGGGCTTGGATGTCTGCACAAGGACCCCTATGAGCTATCCACAGAGTTGTATCCCGCTGCAAGGAGCAGATGGCATATTTTGTCTCTGGTCTCACAGTCCCGGGCTGCACGCCAGCTGATGGAGAGGACTCAGTCGTCCAACATGGAGACCAGGCTAGATGCCATGAAAGAGCTGGCCAAGCTCTCTGCTGATGTGACTTTCGCCACCGAGTTCATCAACATGGACGGCATTGTTATGCTGACAAGACTCGTGGAAAGTGGAACCAAGCTCTTATCCCAGTGAGTATTGCTGCAAACTTCTCCTGACCTCCTACACTCCACAGGGCCTCTGCCCTCGTTTCCATCATCAGATAAGGATTTGACTGAGCACCTCTGTCCACAGAGTAGTAGCCAAAACCTGCTGTGCTCATGGAGAGGTCTTGTTCACTGCAGGGAGTACAAAACAGTCCCTTGCCAGATGAGTTGTAAAAACAGGGCTATAGACACTAGGAGGAAAGAAGTCAGTCCATGACAGACCTGTTAATTTATGGATGAGGGCTAGTGGACAGATGAGACCATTCATTATCTCCCGGGCCAGGTGACTGTCTGTTCCTAACCAATCCTCTGCCTACCCCGTCCTGTGCGGCCACCTCCCACCCCATGTGCACACTTGCACGCACACGCACACATGCCTGCCTTTGGTTTGCCACAGGCTTCCCCTACCACTCACCATCTGCCTGCCTCACACTGTCAGGGAGGAGGAGACCAGAACTCTGTGCCCCACCGCCGGCATCCTCCAAGTCCCTCAGGGTTGGGCAGATGTGGGAAGCTGTTCCTGTGCTCAGTAGGAAGTGGCAGATGCTTGGGTTTCTCTCTAAGCCTGTGGAGCCTAGGCTGGCAGATAGGGAGTCAGAAAACATCTCTCAGGTGATAGATCAGCTACTGAATGTTTCAATCAAACCAAGCAACTAATCATAGGTATTTGCTTTAAGTCTTGGATCTTAGCCTGTACTGAAAACACGAAGCCTTCATTGTCAGCAGCAGTGACCCAGGAGTTTTACAATCTCCAAGAGTACAGGGTTACCCCAGCCTTGGTTTCCCCCTCTTTAAAATAGGTATGATGCCTCGCATTATTGCTATGAAGAGTATTGTCAATGAGAATGTGTTGGAACATGCTAGGAAATGGGCAAATGCTTGGTTAATTAAAGAGCACTGCATAGATGCATGAAGGATTAACTGTGAGGGAGAGACAAAAGAGAGAGAACACTTTAATCCTTGTTCTCTGCCAGCATTATTACAAGAGCTCTGCATACATCATCAGCTCACCCTCCCCACAACCCTAGGAGGGTAATGCTGTGAGACAGACTCGATTTTACAGAGGAAGAAGTTGAAGTTTGAAAAGATAAAATCTGCATAGTTAGAAAACGGTTGAACAGAAATTGAACCCATATCCATATCTTTCCTCTTTCTCCTCACACTGCTGTCTCTGGCCTAAAGGTTAACATGGGATATAAACTCCCTTGGGTTCTTCCATCAGGCACGAGAGTTTGGCAGAGGTCTGAAGTTTTCTGTGTTTTGGGAAATAGACAAGTGATTCTATATCCCTGAGACAAAGCAACATGAGGAAGGCAATCCAGATCACCCAGCAGCCTTTTTGAAAAATCGTAAATACCTGGGCTGAATGCTCTGCATCGGGCTGGTTGTGCACTCAGGCACTTAAGATCTCTTGACTGACTTTTCATGGGATGTTTACATTGAAACCTGTCCCCTTTGTGGCTGCTTCCACATTTGTGTTCCCCAGATCTGAATCTGTATTATTTTGTGTGTGTGTGTGTGTGTGTGTGTTGCACGTGTCTCAGCTACAGTGAGATGCTGGCATTCACCCTGACTGCCTTCTTAGAGCTCATGGACCATGGCATTGTCTCCTGGGACATGGTTTCAATCACCTTTATTAAGCAGGTGAGGCCTCCAACATCCTGTCTCTCTCTCCTTCCTCAGTTGCCAGCTGTTCTCTGGGCTTAAGGGCAGATGGGGGCAATACAACTCGTATGTTCTGGTGAGGCTCTGCTTTATGTTCCCTGGATTTGCTTATTGTTATTATTATTATTATTATCCTCAAGCTTTGGTCTTCTGGCTACTAAAAGATTTATAACTTATTATACAGGTGCTCCTCATCTTACAGTGGGTTCTGACATACATAATAAACTCATTGTAAATTGAAAATATTGTAAATCAAAAATGTATTTAATACCCTTAATCTACTGAAAAGCATAGTTTAGCAACACAGCGTACTGCAGGATCTCAGTAGTCCACCCTTGTGACCATGTAACTGACTGGGAGCTGCGGCTCGCTGCCATTGCCCAACATAGAGAAGGAATTTTGTCATCACTGGCCCAGGAAAAGATCAAAACTCAAAATTCCAAGTGTAGTAGCTCCTGAATGAATATCACTTTGCACCATAGTGAAGTAGAAAAATTGTAAATTGAATCCTCAGAAGTCAAGAACGGTGTGCTCAGCACCTGCACCGAGAGGGTGGGACGGGCTGTGAGAACTGAAGAGATTCAAAGTGGAATTGATTGTCAGTGTTATTCAGAATAAACCAGCCAGTTGACCAGTACCATCCTTGAATCTTCTGACCTTCTTCCTCAGTGCTCCCTTTTCTTTATTTTATATATGTATATGTGTGTGTATAGATATAGATATATATGTATATATGTATAAAATAAGAATGTACATTTCATTTGCAAATCTGCCTTCTGTTTGCAAATCTCCAAGGTAGCCCATTTGAGTTGTCAGATTGAACACCATGGGTAGAAAGAGAGCCCTTCTAGTTTAGCCCTCGTTTCTTCTACTAGAAAGAGTGGTGTCAATTCAGAAAACTGATCTAAAGCCAATGAATAATATTATATCCACTGACCTAGAATTTCATCTGTCCTTGGCTTAGGATGCTGGGAATTTCCCTGCAGTGATGACATTTGGGCAAAAGTGAAGTGACCTTGAGTCGAGGACATCATAATGGGGATTGGAAAGAAGAATTAGATTAAAAGACTTCAGGGTTCTTTCTGCCTCTCAAAATGTGCAGTGTTCTCAGTGTTTTTAGGGAGAAAGTGTAATTCAGGAGAAGAGCAGGTAGAAGCAAAATGAGATCCCAGTATCAGTAAATCCTCTCCGCTCAGCTTTCTCATGCCTGACTCCTTATTTTGAAAAAAGGATTAAGGTTTTAGACTTTGAGGAAACACACTTGAGTAGATGCTGTAATCTGAGATTGTGGTATCCATGCCTAGGGAGCCCTTGCACATTGGCCAGGGCAGGGCTGTCCTCCCAGCCACAGCTCCCCACATGGAGGCATCATGCCTAAGGAGAGAGCCTGCAGGGCTGACACCAGATACCCAGCTACCCAGCTCTCTTAAACCCCAAGCTTCCTAACTGAGCTGCCCCTGTCTGGGTCTAGATTGCAGGGTATGTGAGCCAGCCAATGGTGGATGTGTCAATCCTTCAGAGGTCTCTGGCCATCCTGGAGAGCATGGTCTTGAACAGCCAGAGTCTGTACCAGAAGATAGCAGAGGAAATCACCGTGGGACAGCTCATCTCACACCTGCAGGTGTAAGAGGCCCCATCCACCCTCCCTTCACGTGTCTATTTCAGTTCTGCCTCCTCTTTGTGTATATTTCAAGTTGTGCTCGTTCCTTCATTCATCTCCTCTTGTGCATGACTCAGGATTCCTCCCATAATTCAGGCTCAGTCCTGTTAACGCTCCTGCCTGAAATCCTCTAATACTCCTTGCCCTTTAGGGTAAAGTGGAGGTTTTCCCAGTTTCCCTGTACCACCCAAGTATCAGATAGAATTAGACACTTCCTCTCCTATGGGTCTGATAGGCTTTGTTTGCACCCATGACAGTTATATTTATGTAAAAAAAAAAAAAAAACTGTATTTTTGTTACCTGTAGTCCCTCTCTTAAACTTCAAGCTTCCTGGAAAATGGTGGTGGGGGACTCCTGCTTTGATTTAAGTAGGTGCTCAGTATTTACTGGCTGATGCTTACTGGACTAATATGCTATGGGGGCAGCAAGAAGTATCAAAGTGTGAGTTCAGGGTACAGTTCAAATCTAGGTTCTACTGCCTTTGAGCTCTCTGCTTTCAGCAAGTTACCTAGTTTGTCTTTTCCGGCCTCAGTTTTCTCATCTCTGTACTGGGATAATCATCCCCACCTCCCAGACTGTAAGGATCAAGGATTTTTTGAAAAGGTTTAACACATACAGAATGGTGTGATAATTCATATATCTCCCTGCCTGGAGGCTCTGATTTGAATTCCATCATCTGCTTTTACATAGCTAACCACCTAGCCCCTAGGAGATTCTAGCACAGTCGTTCATGTACCACCATGGTTCAAGCCACCCGATGGGACAGTCATGTGTAGTCACTGGTGGTTCAAGGTAGTGGCAACGTGCTATGTATTGCTTTTTTTTTTAAGAAGCTTATCACATCATAAAATATTTTACCAGATAATAAAACAAGATAACACATGAAAAGAACTTTCTCTCCTCTCCATTCTTTTTCTTCACTTTGAGCCAGTCTGCACAAATGAAGGATACTGGGCTTCCTAAAATAAGGGTGGTGATACTGTTGACTCCCTGCTGACTCTTGCTCACTTCACCTTGTCAGACATTATCAAGAGTGCTGCCAGATTCCCCTGCCAAGCCCAGGAGAAGTCCCAGCCGACCTTTGGAAGTTGACACTGACCCTGTCTTCATTCAGCCTTGTCCCCAACCTGTATCCCTAATCCAAGTAAAAAGGAAGTGTAGTGATTTCTTTGCAGCTGATTTCACTTTGTCGATTTTAAGGGATTCTTCAGCCCCACCTCTTATCCTTAAAGAGCCAATGGGGTTGATTAAGGTGAGAGTAACATGATGAAACCTGGATAGAGAGTTGTGATTTTCCAGTGTCCTTATAGCTCCTCTCTGTTCTTTTGTCTTTGAATTGGGATTGACCTCATCTGCCTCCCCGAGAACAGTAAGGGAACATGGCATTTCTTAAGGTCATTTGTGAATACTTTCAGCCCCCAGCTATCACCAGCACATTGGTGCTCTGCTCTCTGTGTGGGGGGACACTTACTGCCCTCCATTGGATTTCCAAGGCTCCCCCACCTGACCAAAAAGTCCATCAGTCCCCTGAAGGCTGTAACCCCAGCATAGCCGATGGAGACTTCTTATCAGGTGTCGGGATTGTAAGAGTCCAGAAAATGGTTGTAGTTATTTTGTTTAAAATAAAGTTTATAGTCAAAACTTTGAACATACAAAAAGCACAATAAGTATATTATTTATCCATTACCCCACCTTCAAATATAACCACTGTTAAATGTTTGGTTATGTGTCCTTCCAGTCTTTTTCCACTCTGCATATTTTTTAACCAAATTAGGATTTTACTCCACATACTGATTGGTTTTTGTTTTTGTTTTTTTACTTGAATAATATATCTTGACCATTTCTCCATGTCAAGGATTCTTCTAAAAGGATAGTTCTAAACCTTTTTTTGTATCCCGGACATCTTTGAAAATCCAGCAACAACTTTGGGCTTTCATTGCTTCGGAACAAATATCACAGTTAACTAAGTGTGTAGAATAATTTCTGTGCCATTTCTGAGGTTCACAGATATTTGAAGCCATCCCTGAATCCCAGGTTGGGAATCTTTACCCTAAAATTTTTTAGTAGCTACTTTATCCTAAAACATGATTTTTAGAATTTTCATTTATTAAACAAAGTTGCTAATGGAAATGTTTAGGTTACATAACATCTTTTTGTTTCTTTTAATAGTACTTGAGCAGAACATCTTGTCAGTAAATCTCTGATTACTCCTAGTTAAATTCCTGTTAGTGAAATTTGTAGGTCAGGAATATACCCATTTTAAATGCCTTTGAGACTTAACACCAGATTATTATTTGTTTCCAGACTCTTAAGTGATTTTTCAAACTGTCTATAAACGTAATCTTGCTGCTCCATCCTCTAATCTCCCTCTGCTATTTTCCTCCATTGACACAGCTCCAACCAAGAGATTCAGACCTATGCCATTGCACTGATTAATGCACTCTTTCTGAAGGCTCCAGAGGACAAACGACAGGTTTGTGGCCACTTTTTCAAACTTTTCATTTGGACTCTTCTAAGAGAAGAATTCTCACTTCACCCACTGTTCTCTGTGCCGAGAGTAGAAATCCAGCCATCTCCAAGTTGCTCATCCCAGCCTTCACCAGTCAGAGCCCAGTAGGTGGCCTTGCTAGGGAACCTTCTGCTGGGGAGAACTGTAAGGGGGAACTTGCTGAATCACAGATCAGAGAAGGGGCTTGAAAGCTTTCTCCTCGGAAGACAGAGGATAAATATTTTCTGCTTCATATAGTCTGTGCAGCAACGATTCAAGTTGGCCATTGTAGCCAATAGCCTTAAACAACAGGTAAATGAGTGGGTATGGGCATCTTCCAATAAAAACCTTATTTATGCAAATAGGCAACAAGCCCAGTGTAGCTATAGTTTGCTAACTCCTAGGTTAGAGGATCCAGGAATATGTTAGGGGAGACCTTCTGGGCATCGCTGTTGAGTCCAGGGGTCAGAAATAAGTCAGACTTAGCACTAAGTTTCACATATAAGAGTCTTCTGATCAAGATTCTAAATGTCTTTCTTCCCCCTTTTTATTAGTTGCGTGTTGAGTTACACAAATTGCTGTGCTTCTCTGAACCTTAGTTGCCTCACAGTATGGGAGTGACAGCATCTGCCCTGTTCACCTCAAGGATATTATCAGGAAAAACAGGACACCTGTTTTACAAATGAGAGAACCAGAAATCATCTGAGCAATGAATAGGCATTGACCTAAGAATTAAGGGGCCTGGGACAAAGCACTTTTCTTGTCTCTGATTTGGCATATGTTCTGACCTCTGGGTCTCAGTTTCTCTTTCTGAAAAATGAAAGGACCAGATTAAATGATCTCTAGGGAACCTAATAGCACTTAACACACTAGATCTTTCTGCTGAATGCCGAAGGAGTGTACGAAAGTAAAACTTAAATTCTCTGTCAATGTCATGGGCTCAGTAAGGTGAAATCCCAGGGGATCATGTGCCAGGCTCTTAGCAGATTTTAGAGGGAGGGTCAGAAGCATCTGTGGTTCTGTCTGTCCTTGTCTTCCTCCGATGGCTGGCTCTGTGAATCTCTTCCTTCCCGGTCCTTGTTTGAATGTAAGCTGAAGCTCATTCTGTCTGCTTCTCTCTGTGCTTTTTGCTTTTTGCCAGCAGGACAAGCACCTTAGTCCTCTAGACCTGCCTGTCACTGTAAGTAGTACCCTGTGTGGAAAGGGCCCCGGCTCACTTCCAGGTGGGAGGTCACAGCTGGGCAGAAATCTAGATGTCTATGGAATGTCCAGAGAATACTCACGCCCGGGGAAGGGTTGAACTGAACATCTCATTTGTCAGGACACTTAGTACTGTAGATTAGCGTCACAGTGGGATGGGGGGGATGCCTGCCCCAGGCATTATGACCCAGTCTTTCTTTGGCACCCTGTCTTTGTGTGGGTCTGTGCTTCGGCTAAGCTCAGATTCAGATAGAGCCTGTGACTTTCATCCAGGCAACACTGCTGCTTTTCACCTGTATTGCCTGCCAGCTTGCTATAGTAAAGGCTAGAAAGTAATCCATGCCCTTCCTGGACAGTCAGAATTTGAAAAGGTTTAGACAGTTGACAAAAGGGAGTGTGGGCAATCATTTCTTGACTAGCAAGAGCTTTAGAAAAGCCAGCTTTATGAGGATATAAAAGAGGATGAAGGATTTGCTCCTCAGTACCAAGGAAAGGCCTAGGTCTGAGACCTTATATTCTACTTCTAGATGACTGGCAGTTACCCACATTATGAGTTGTCCACAACAAAGCTCAATCTCAGTCGACCTCCTGTAGCTACCAACGAAGTTTCTAGGCCACTTTTCCCCTCCACCAGCCAGTATGTGCTCAGAGATGCAAAGTAAAACTCGGTGCTCCTGGCAGCCTTAGCCATTTGGAACATGGGTAGGAATTTAGAAGTGAGAAGGGCCTTTCAGCTTGAGAAAAGTGACAGCTCATGGTTATTGGCCTTAGAATCATCTATAAAATTAAATGAAGGCAGCAGTTTGGAAAGTGAAGTCATACTAATTAACATTAGTGAGAAGTGATGGTTGACATTGGAAGGACACAGAAGAATTGTGAAAAGCTGTCAGAAAAGTTAAAGAATCATAGTTTGGAACCATTTTGTTTAGAGGAAAATAGCTTCGTGTTTTTAAAGCTCCTTAGGCTGGTAGTGTCACAACACAGAATAATCACTCGTGTTCTTTTGCATGAAGCCAAGTCCTTGGGAGTGATTAAATTATAATCATTGAAATCTCTTCAGAAATAAAGACTGTATATAATTTTTTAAAAAGGATTTGCATTAGAATGGTTAAAAATAATGGTTCTGAGAGAAACCTTGAAACTTTACTTCCTGGAAGACTCACTTATGTAAGACACTTTGTTTCCTGAGCATGCTAAATAAATAAAGCATTACTGTCAAAATCTGCACCAAATGTAATTTTAAAAAGTAACCCTATTATGTAGAGTCCCCCGAAGCACACACACATTGCTTTCTCAGCCAGTCAGCAGAGTCAGGTTACTGCTTTAGGACCTCTGTGGCCTGGCCCTGCCTGCAGTGGAGCTGGAAGAGGCACTGGGCCAGTCCTCTCCTCATTATGGAGTCAGCGCTTGATCAGAGTCCCTTCTGGCCTCGGTGGTGGCATCTGCCTAGGACGGCACATGCGGCGCGGACACCATCATGCTACTCTTTGCTCTGCGTGCGATGTCCATTGCCAGCATCCTTGTGACACAAGTGTCTCATTGTCTCTGTTCTTCTGGGAAGATGATGCAGCTGATTGTGCATTAGGAAGGAAAGCTATTTTAAGTTTTCACTCACAAAAAAAGAGGAAATTTTTTTTTTTAGAAATATGTGTGAAGAATAGTTGGTGGTGAGTGGATTTTCTTCCACTGACCCACTTTTCATTTGAAAGGAAAAAGTTTTAAAAGGAAAAGCCCCAGAGCTATGTCATCGCCTCCGTTTTGATGGTAGTCACAGGTGAGTGCCTACACCTTTCCTTATACTTACTTATTCTCCTTCTAGGACATGGCCAATGCCTTTGCACAGAAGCACCTTCGATCCATAATCCTGAATGTAAGTCCCTGGCACACACTGTATTTTGTTCCTGATGTCTTCTTACTGTTAGTGACAGTTATTTTAGTTACTGCTGAAATTAGTATTGTGCAGTGGGGCACACAGGGGAAACTTAATAGGTGCTAAACTCTTCTCAAATTTAGTTATAATCCTCTATTAAGGAAGCCCTCTCACCAAGAGTTGCAGCGCCTCCAGGGAGGGACTAAGGCCAACTATAGTGCTTGCTGCAACTCCAGCATAGTTATCCAGGGGGAATTTGCTAAAATAGGCACCAAAGAGCAAAGTGATTCACTCGGCTCACACTCTTCATAAACCTGATTTGTGTGGGGCACTGACAGAGATGAGTCAGAGTATGCTTGTGGTCATAAGCCAGGTGTGGTAGCACATGCCAGTGATCCCAGCACTCGGGAGGCTGAGGCAGAAGGATCGATCACTGTGAGTTCAAGGCCAGCCTGGGCTACATAATGAGACCCTGTCTAAGAAAAAGACCTGTAGTAGGAAAGACATTTGTCATAACACAGTGTGGTCAGTGCTTCCCTAGAGATCTGTGACCTGGGAGAGGAAGGAGGAGCTGCCCTGAGCCTTCGGGAATGTGTCTGGGTACACCTGGGTGACAGGTAGGCAGACCAGGAAGAACAGGAGTTTCTGAGAGCATCAGGGACCAAGAGGGACTGTGTGATTGGGTGCAAAGTGGAACAAGGGGCAAATGTGTCATGAGGCTGGAGAGTTTGCAGGGGCCAGACCAACAAAGGCCTTGGTCTTCCTCCTAAGTTCAGTGGAAGAAATCTGTTTAGGATGAAGAAATACCCAGACATATTTTAGAAAGAGCTGCATGCTTCCTGAGGGATGGCTGAGGGAGGAGAGTAGGATTTCTTAGGGGCATCAGGTCTGAATAGAGGTCTCCTTCCTGTCTCCATAGCGGTGATTTGGGGTGCAGGAAGACAGAGGCAGTAAGGGGAGATAGGAGATGAGGAGAAAGCCAAGGGGCTGGATTAAAAGGAAGCCATTTGTCAAAAACAAAGGTGTCTTGGTCACTTTCCTCATCACTGGGACAAAACACCTGGCACTCACAACTTAAAAAAGAGAGGTTGATTTTGGCTCTGTTTCAGAAGTCTCGGTTCTTGCAGAATGAACCAGCTTCAAAGCAGCAACAGCATGGTGGAAGGGCCTGGTAGAGCAAAGCTGCTCATGTCCTGGCAGCCAGGAAGCAGAGAAGGGAGGAGCTGGGGAGGGAGGGAGGGAGGCAGGGAGGCAGGCAGGCCCTTGCAGGTCACACCCCCAGTGACCCACCTGAGACCAAGCTCCTCTCCCAGCAGCTCCCTGAGCTCAGCCTGTGACCCAGTCACTTCCCATGAGCACATGAGGCTTTGGGACGGGGGCACTGTCTGTCTACACCATCACAAGGGGAAGATGGAGAGACCACAGTGAAGGAGGAATAAAGGAAAGCTCAGGAGTCAAGAGCGAAAGACTTAAATGCCGATCGTGGACTCTGCAGTCACCCAGCCCTCTGTCATTTTCTAATCTGCTTTAATCTCCAGCAGTTCATATTGCTTCTCTGGGCTTTTGATTTGCTCACGTGAGTGTGAGGACTAAATTCACTAATACACAGACAGTGCTCAGCAGGGTGCCTGGCACCTGGTAGGTAGTCTTTGCTGTGTAGGCAAACAGGGCTTGAAGGTGAGAGAATCCACAAAGTAAACTCCGAGTACTTGTGCATGGATTGGTCGGCTGCTGTAAGCCCACAGAGTGCCCAGCTCCTCCCTGATGACTGCTTCTGTGCTGATCACAGGCAAGCTAGCAGCCTGGCAGGAAGCCCCAAAGAGATGCTGGAACACTGCTCTTAAGTGGCAGTGGACAGGTTCTCAGGCATTGCTGTGGATACTCCTGAGCAGCTATTGGGGCAACTTCCATTATATGTGAGGGTGAGGGTTCCCTTCTGGGTGAAATGCAGTTGTATCTGAGACTTTGTGAGTGGGTTTAGAAGTTCAGCTTATTTCTGTGATCAAGCAAAGATTCCACTACAGAAGACAATTGAACGTTGAGACTTAAATGATTTGCCAGCACATGGTTAATTCAAGCTCACTGAAGTCCAGGGCTTTAGCTGAGTCAGAGATCCAGAGAGCCTAGGTCCTGAAATGTGCGATGTCCAGGTGAGGTCAAGGTGCCTTCAGATGAAACCTCTGAAACTACAGCTCATCCAGCTGGAGCTGGGCTTCTTCAAACCACTGCTGGCTAATTACTTTCCCGACGTGATCTCTTTTCAGTTCAAGAAAGGAGACAAGGGTGAGTGAAAACCAAAGGCGTGTCAACTTTCATCACTGTTCAAAGCTGTTTCATAAATTATCTTGAGAAGTGAGAGGAAAGACTAAGGATCGACAAGGAGAAATCTGGGGGAAAGGGAGGAGACCATAGAGAAGAGAAGGCTTACAATGAGGCAGGGGAAGAGTTGTGGAGAGGGGCAGGAAGCAGCAGGGTCAGAGAAGAGAGCTGCGCCAGGAGGGACGAGAATGCTTGGGAGGGGAGAGAATCACTGAGACTGAGCTAGGGGTGAGACGGCGGGAGGGCGAGTGACTGGGCTGGCACCAGAGTCCGGGACCAGTGTCCTCTTCAGAGGGAGGGTGGGGCACGATCTAGCTCGAGCACATTGCAAACCTCTGGTGTATGGGAATGCTGTCTGAAGTGGTCATCACCTGAGCGCTTAAAAGGAGTCCGCTGTGGCTGGGGAACTGAATGTGTGGTTTGAATTTGAGTTAAATTTAAAGACCCGTGTGCAGCTTGTGCAGCTCTCGAGTGCAAACCTTGAGAATAAGCCGGGAATCACACAGCTGGAAAGGAGGTCTGGAGCAATCCTAGACGACAGAATCCTAACACAGTACATGGGTTGTGTAAAATGTTCTACCATGTGCTAGCAGTGTTAAAAAAGGAATAGCAGAAGTGAAGTTGAATGATAAGGCTTCCTCAGCTCCAGAAACCCAAAACATCACTTCAACATGAAATAAATAGAAAACACTATTAATAATATACGTTACATTTTCTTTTTCGAACTAAGGCACTGAGGTCTGGTGTGCATTTGACACAGCACATCTCACTGGCAACTGGCAACAAGTCAGGTGTTCAACACCACGTGTGCCTAGTGGCCACCAAATCAGACTGTGCAGGTTTAAAGAGATTGATCTAGAGCCAGTGCAAGCTAAAGTGCCAGGGAGCTTTGAAAAGAGAATGCTTAGGCTAGAGAGCTCTAGAATAAGACTGTACAGTAAATGTTTCTGTGCTGATGGAAACTCTCTATGCCTGCTCTATATCATAGCTACTAGCCACAGTGGCTGATAACCATTACAGAACTGAAGTTCTCATTGAAATGTAAATAGCCACATGTGGCTAGTGGCTACCACACTGGACAGCACACTTCTAGAGACAGGGCTCCTGAGTAAGAGAACCTAAGGGACACTGAGGTCACACGTGGGAAACTGGACAAGAGGCTCATTTGGGCAACAAAGGACCTAGGGTGACAGGATTTGGGATGGTGCATTAGACAAGGAAAGGGAGCTGTGAAATATGTCCAGGGGAGCAAGGAGGAAAGAACAGGACATCGTGGGCATAAGAACAGGGTGGTCAGGCTCTAATCATCAGGACAGAGGAAGTCCTAGCATACATGAGAAAGACAGATGAGGACCTAAAGTGGTGTTGGGCATTGGGTCAAAGGGAGGAGTGATGAGCCACCAGGCAGGGTGGGGGCAGAGTGGGGAGGACAGAGTCGGAGAAGGGAGAGGGACATGGTGTGGGAGACACAGGCGGTGGAAGGAAGACAGGGACATGGCAGAAAGGGGAGGGTGGCATGAGTGGTTGGACACGAGAATTAGATGTTTCTTCTTTGTGTAGGCGGCCCAATATGATTTAAAGAAAATGACCTTTTCTAAAACCTCACCACTGGGTGAAACCGTCTAAGATGTTTCTACTTTTCTAAGACAAAGTGGCCGTTGCGCATGCACTCTCCATTGTCCTGGATTCACTAATCTTGTGAGGTGCCTGACTGGAGTGGATCTAGTCTTCTGACCTCGAGGATTTGCCTCCCCCATCTCTGGCGAGGTTCAGATGGGGGGCCCTTCATCCCACTTCCCTCTTCCCAAAGGAGTGCAAGGGAAGGGATTGTGCCCTTGGTTTTAGTGAATCATCTCTGTCTGAGTTCAGCCCATTCATCCTCCATCCCCTTCTAGAACATGAAGTCCCTATGTGTAGGAGGAAACTCATTTCCTGCCTGGTACACTTTCCCCCCACTAGCATGGATGTGGCTCTTCAAAAAAGAGACAATTAGTTCAGCCCTGTTCCCTGCCTTTGCTTTTCTAGCATGTGATCCGAGGGAATCGCCCAATCAAAACTGAGATGGCCCATCAGCTCTATGTCCTCCAGGTCCTGACTTTTAACCTTCTGGAAGAAAGGATGATGACTAAGATGGACCCCAATGATCAGGCAGGTGCTAAGTGGAGCAGTTCTGTCCCAACTAAAATCGTGCTGTTTTCTCATGGCTGTGGTGCATTCCCCCTCAGTCTGTGTGCCGGGCAGGCAGTGTGTGGGTGGCCTTCATTTGCAGAAGTGGTTTGTGTCTGCTGTGAGAAACTATTGCTCTAGTGTGGTCTGCCTGCTGGGGCCTCTATGAGCCAGCCCATTTCTTTTCGCTGTGGTAAAGGTAATGGCTCCCAAAAGACTTATTGGGTCCAGAATTTGTCCTGGGGGAGCCTGAGCTGCCCCATGTTCTCTTCCTTGCTTCCCCTGACCAGCTCATTTACCTACTGACTGCATCTTCACTCAGGCTCAGAGAGACATTATATTTGAACTGAGGAGGATTGCATTCGACGCAGAGTCTGACTCTAGCAATGTCCCTGGGAGTGGGACTGAAAAACGCAAAGCCATGTACACCAAGGACTACAAAATGCTGGGATTTACTGTGAGTACCCCCAAGCTTAGAGGTGGTAGGCTGTCATCCTTGATGACCACTACGATGGCCTGATAGCTCCTCCTTCACAGTAGTGACCCTGCAGTAGATATCAGTCAGAAGGAGAGGGTCATGGTACTTGGTTTGCCTTGGCAGTGGCACATTTGCAAGTTTATTGCAACATTAGGTACCATAAAAACAAATTCATAAGTAGGAGGGCCCAGAAGGTCAGGTAGAGAGGGACCTGTTCCCCAAAGCAGCTACATACTTTGCAAAGCTAAGGTGACCGTTTTATGGTAGGATGTGGTTTGAGGGTATGCTTACTTTGATTAATAAGTACTTACTGCACACCTACTCCATGCCTGGAAGCATGCTAGGTGCCAGGGATACCAGATGAGGCAGCCTCAGTCCAACTTGAGCTCAATTTAGCAGTAGAAGCAGGCGTGTAAAAAGAGCTGGGCCAGAGGGCCATGAGTACAAAGCACTGGCAGCAGACAGAGGGAGAAGGCAGTGGGCTTCCCCACAGGGCATTCACATAAAAGGACACCACCAAGTCTCGGGTCTGTGTTTCTCCAGAACCATATCAACCCGGCCTTGGACTTCACCCAGACACCTCCTGGAATGCTAGCCTTGGACAACATGCTGTACTTGGCTAAAGTCCACCAGGACACCTACATCCGGGTAAAGAACGGTTGGCTTCTCATTCCCCTTCCCCTTTCTTGCCTTCCTCCTTTAATCTCACCCTGTTCTTCCCCTACAGATTGTCCTGGAGAACAGCAGCCGAGAAGACAAACACGAATGCCCCTTTGGCCGAAGTGCCATTGAGCTCACCAAAATGCTCTGTGAAATCTTACAGGTTGGGGAACTGCGTAAGTGTCTGTAGCTCCTTCTGCTCCCTCAGCTAGTGAGTGTTGTCACCAAAAGCCTGGTGAGACTGGAGATCTGGACAGTTAGAAGTCAGGGGGACTGGACAGCCTTTTGGAGGTTTCTAATTACTGCATGAGCTGATGAGAATCCATCTTATTCTTGCTTCTGGGAGCCATGGCCCTTGATCTGCCTTGAGCTGATAATTTGAGCATGTGCAGAAGCTGCATGTGAGGGCCGGCTAAGTCTGTAACAGGGTAGAGGCAGACCGAGAAAAACACCCTGCAGAAGAAGCTGAGGAAGTGAAGAAAGGCCCATCCCACTCTGGTTGGTAGCCACTGGCCTGGTCTGCTCTTGTTCCATGGGGCTGCGGTGCAGGAAATCCAGTGTTTGTGAGCTCCTGAGACCTTGTAGGCAAAACCATCATGGTTTCACTATTCTCTTCTCCAGCAAATGAAGGGCGCAATGACTATCACCCGATGTTCTTTACCCACGATCGAGCATTTGAAGAGCTCTTTGGAATCTGCATCCAGCTGCTGAACAAGACTTGGAAGGAGATGAGGGCAACAGCAGAGGACTTTAACAAGGTCAGTGTCACAGAGCTGCTCTGAAGCCCATAGAAGGAGATAGCCTCAGACAGCAGCTGGCCAGAGCCTGGAGAATCCCTGAGCTGAAAAACTAGCTTGGTCTGCCCTGCTGAGTCACAAGACTAAGACATCGGAGAACCTCAGTCCCATCTGGCTGTGACTCCTTCTATAACCTTGGAGGGGAGTCTGCCCCTTGGTGCTCAGATCTCTTGCTCAATGAAGCCAGTACCTGAGCCCCCATCTTCCTTAGGGCTCAGGAAAATAGCACAGCAGAAAAGCTGTGGTTTACTGTGCACCTACCATGTGCAGTCCCTTAACTGAAGAGGTTAGAGGCGGCAGGGAATCGCTGTGCTGTACAAAGCATAGGTGCTTCATTGTCATCCATTGCTTTCTCTCCATGTAGAGCACTGCTAAGTCTTCACAAGCTGACAGTCTAGGAGCTGAGTGTTTGAAGTTGATCATCTCATCATAAAAAATTTGAAAACAGCTGGGCATGGTGGCGCTCGCCTATCATCCCAGCACTCAGGAGGCTGAGGCAGGAGGATCACTGTGAGTTCGAGACCAACCTGGGCTA